AATGCATGATTTTAACTCAACACTTGAATTCCAAATCCTGGCACAACAATACTTAAGGCAATATATTGTTTTTATTTTAATTTGTACCACTTTCCCTTTGTTTAATGCCATTATTTTTCCTGTTTATTTTACAGAGCGCCACAGAGACTTGCAAGAGTCGAAATAGATCTCGCTCCATTTAAATCAGAAGATCAACAACATAAATCACAAGAAGTGTGTTAATATGAATAGCAGCCAAGACAGATTTCAACACAAAGTGAATTTAATATGAAATTAACATAGTCTACTTGGTAATATTTACAATAATCATAATAATACGTTTCACTAGTCTAGTTAGTTCGACCTCGCTAAGACGGGAACGTGGGAGGGGTGTAAATATAGGTGGACCGTTGAATTCCTTTTATCAACATCCTTTTAACGGCAGAAGAGGTAGAATTATTGTTAAACATAGAACTTTAATCCATTTTGGATTTAAAAGAGGCACTATCATGTGGATCTTGCTACCTTTTTGGTCACGATTGTGTTAAAATTGTATCGGAGCAAATCAGCTAGTAGTAACTAGCTTGACCACAAAATCGCATAGAATATACCAAGGTGTAGATAGAGTATGAATTGTCGATAAGAATTTTTAGTGATTTGTCCAGATTTGAAAAGGTCTGCCTAGCTTTTTCAATTTGAAAATCAAAATCTTGAGCAAGTGTATGATAACATCCCTTAAATAGCTTCAGCTGGGTATCTTTTGATGAAAAAAAGAAAGACCCTGGGAACGGATTTGTAACGAAACCAGACCATTGACCTTTGACCTTTCGAGATCATACTCATGGTAGTGGTCCTACAGGCAGAAGTCAGTCTCTTGACCGCCAAAGGCTTAAAGCACCTAACCGATGAAAATTGGCCCTCGCCAGAAGTAGTATTCAGTGTTTGAGGTATAGTTTCAATATGACAAAAACAAAACCTCAGGGATTAGGTTACACCTAAAACCGTAGCTGTTCGAAAAGTTTTTGTTGAAGTCCATCGGATGGTCTTCTTTTATTGAATTAAAGGAGTTGCGTTACGAAAGGTTTGCGCGTCTCGAAAAGTTTAGCCTAAATCTTTCAAGTTCGTCGTTTGTCAAGTCAAGTCAAGTCAAGTTTATTGTGTATGTACACTTAGCTTTCATGAGGACAATCCGTGTTAATCTTCTCCATCCTTAACTATCCTTGTTTCATTATGGTTTATTATTGCTGTTATCTTAGTAAACTACTATTTTCAGATTTCCTTCAATTTAAAGGTGCTTTTGTTCGTGGCCAAAATAACTCAAAATACCGTGACTGAGTTCCTTTAAGTATACAGAAGACATAATGTTCCACCAGGGAAAGATTTCAACTGAAAGATAGATAAAGATAGATCGTAGAGAAAAGATTTGACTTCAATTCTAGTGTGATCACGATGAAACGGCCGGTTTTATAAGCCGGGTAGTTGAAATATGTCATACATCGCGTTATTGTAAATAAACTGAACAAACTACGCACCTTCATTTTAAAACAAAACTGTAAAAAACATCCTTAAAAAACTCAATGAACAAATTAGAATAGAGTATTATATAAGATCACATACTTTTGGTGTTACTTTACGGAAATGTTTAATTAACTTGTTGGGAAATAATAAAATAAGCGGGCAAGTTGTCACTGTTTCCATGTTTCCGTGGAAATTAAACGAAAGCCAAGTTAAAAAACGTTTCGCAGACATAAACTGGGGGAGTTATTACTTTTACGTGCGTATCGTATATGTAACCAATACTGTCTCATCAGTCAGTAAATAACAATGATATTTTATGATGACATGTTGTTTACGGTGGCTCCATGATAACGGTTTACCCGGCAGCAATTGCGCTTTACAGGAACAATACTGCCACCTCATCATCTTGACATAACATGTTTGCATAGCGACAATAGAACCCTTCAAAGCAAAGCACTCACAACTAAAAAACTAAAAAAAAGCGTGCTCGTTGACCCTCATTTTTAATCATTATTGAATAATCGTATTTTATTGTGGAATAATTATCAAGTGAATGAACGTTTGGTAGAGTTTGAAAAAACGTCTCCGTAAGGGGCTCAGAGCCACCTTACAATCCACTCTGGTAATAGTATTTATTACAATTTAATGACTACTGCAAAGAATAAAAATAAGCCATATGGACGATCAGTAAAGGAGTCAAAACCCCATACAAATACAGACCACCAAAAGAGGTAATAAATAGATAAATAAATAGATAAATAAATGATAATAATAAAAATAAAATGAAATAAAATCCCCTCACCCCCTTACATTAACTGATGACATAAATAATTTTCTAGCTTGTGCCTTAAAAGCTCTTAGATCGTATCCACAGCGAGTGTCCAATTCCATTTATCTACAATAGACCTTTTTCGCTTGGGAGGTTTGTTTTTCCCATTACAGACTTCGTGATATTCTCTAGAGAATTGTTCTATTATCCATCTAAAAAATATTTATTCATATGCACACGACTATTTGAAAATTTGAAAGGAAGAAAGGAAGAATTCTCATCACATGGTCTGAAATGGGGCAACAAACCGCCCAGTCGAAAAAGGTCTATTCTATGAAAAATTGGAAATTTTAGCACAGCTCTAACATATTTCTTTTTCAGAGTCCAATTATGACTATGCCTGAGAGAAGCATCTACCTTCTACTTCGTTAACTCTTCTCACCTCTTCTTGGTTAGGTCAGTTACATAATTGCTGATACCAGAGCCTGCTTACTCCTCAGCAAGTTGAACTCCATTGGCATAAATTACTATCTATGATCTACATGGTTTGGTTTTCGCAACAACAAGAAAGTTCACTTGTCGAATGCAGTTTAAGTTTCCCATAGCACCATAATGTATACAAGGCGTCAAATGAAAGCTCAGTGTGAAATTTAACTACTTTGTCCCATTTCTTACATCTTAACACGTAAAAGTAGCCCCTTCAAAGGTAAATCGGTTTTTGTTGCCTCAGAAAAACTCTGTTTGCTTTTTGCAACCTCGACGCACTACATTTTCTTAATTCAAGCCGGATTGGATCCTTAAATTATTAATTGTAGAGACATTGTAAATAGGGCTGGATTAAGACGGGCTTACTTTCATTTCACTTCTCTGTTAGGAAACTTTATTTGCATAACACTTGAGTACCGCATTTGACTTCGAAAAGACTCGGTGTTAATTAAATTTCGGCTTTTGTTGTCTGAGTATGCAGTTAATGAGCCACGCTACGACTAATCATGTTGCTTTTGAAAGTACCCTGCAATGAAAGGAACATAAAGGACTTCCTAGCCGCAGAATACTTCAACTTGTCACATATGTTGCTGGGAGTTGTAATATCCCGCTGGCATTAGACTTTTGCAAACCTTACACTTTGAGGAAATCGAACGGAGACATTTTAGAGTGTTGAGTTTGGTCGACTTCTGCTACTCAGGTTTGTTTACATTATATAAGCTGTAACTGCTTGTGAAGTTTCTCAGAACCGGAGCTGATACACTCGTAGGAACTGAACTTTTTTATTCGTTACTTATTCATTAAAAGTGGCACATGGTTTCAAAAGACAAATCATTGCTTTTAGGATAAAACTCGTGTCATTACAAATGACGCTGGCTCTCAGTCGTGTCTTTATAAGCTATCATAGTCACTATGTAGGTTTTCCCATTAAATCATGCCCTTTGCACACATTAAACAACAAATAANTTCTATGAAAAATTGGAAATTTTAGCACAGCTCTAACATATTTCTTTTTCAGAGTCCAATTATGACTATGCCTGAGAGAAGCATCTACCTTCTACTTCGTTAACTCTTCTCACCTCTTCTCGGTTAGGTCAGCTACATAATTGCTGATACCAGAGCCTGCTTACTCCTCAGCAAGTTGAACTCCATTGGCATAAATTACTATCAATGATCTGCTTGGTTTGGTTTTCGCAACAACAAGAAAGTTCACTTGTCGAATGCAGTTTAAGTTTCCCATAGTACCATAATGTATACCAGGCGTCAAATAAACGCTCAGTGTGAAATTTAACTACTTTGTCCCATTTCTTACATCTTAACACGTAAAAGTAGCCCCTTCAAAAGTAAATCGGTTTTGTTGCCTCAGAAAAACTCTGTTTGCTTTTTGCAACCTCGACGCACTACATTTTCTTAATTAAAGCCGGATTGGATCCTTAAATTATTAATTGTAGAGACATTGTAAATAGGGCTGGATTAAGACGGGCTTACTTTGATTTCACTTCTCTGTTAGGAAACTTTATTTGCATAACACTTGAGTACCGCATTTGACTTCGAAAAGACTCGGTGTTAATTAAATTTCGGCTTTTGTTGTCTGAGTATGCAGTTAATGAGCCACGCTACGACTAATCATGTTGCTTTTGAAAGTACCCTGCAATGAAAGGAACATAAAGGACTTCCTAGCCGCAGAATACTTCAACTTGTCACATATGTTGCTGGGAGTTGTAATATCCCGCTGGCATTAGACTTTTGCAAACCTTACACTTTGAGGAAATCGAACGGAGACATTTTAGAGTGTTGAGTTTGGTCGACTTCTGCTACTCAGGTTTGTTTACATTATATAAGCTGTAACTGCTTGTGAAGTTTCTCAGAACCGGAGCTGATACACTCGTAGGAACTGAACTTTTTTATTCGTTACTTATTCATTAAAAGTGGCACATGGTTTCAAAAGACAAATCATTGCTTTTAGGATAAAACTCGTGTCATTACAAATGACGCTGGCTCTCAGTCGTGTCTTTATAAGCTATCATAGTCACTATGTAGGTTTTCCCATTAAATCATGCCCTTTGCACACATTAAACAACAAATAATTCAGTTACCTTTTCAAATATTCTTACTAAAGCAAGAGTAGTTTTTGTACGGACGCTTCCATTGAGTCAACAAAATCTTCAAGTTATCTAAATGAAAATAACTTTTGCTTGTAGCTCACCCAGCAATGTCAATTTTCTTTCAGGCAGGTTTGAATGTCTCAAGAAATTACTGCTCTACAACATACGAGGAAGGATAAAAAAAATTGCGGCGACAGAGTCCAGCCTCTGATGAAATTAGTCAAGTGTAATGCTTAGTGTTGACTAAAGGCAAGATGTTAAAGCGAGTGAAAAGACGAATGAGCAAACAACATGTAAGTATGTTATCGTCGGTGTATTGTGCATGATAATAAACACTAATGAGGCGACAAACTAGCTGGGTGAAAATTGATTAGTGCTTGGCAATTACTTTAAAAATAGAATTCTTTGTCAGACTACTCTTTTTTCTCAGAATATTACCAATCGATAGCCCAGAATGAGATACAACCGATTACTAAATTCACTTCCTGTCTTATTCCTAAAGTTCTTGTTGTTGTATATAATTTGTAATTATAAGCCACAATATGTCAATATTATAATAACAACAAAAACAACCCTAAGAATCAAAACCCTACGGTTGGCTTCTGACAGACCTTTGGAAGAATTTGGAGACTAATTTGTTCAGTATTTTGACCTACATTGTATTGGTGACCATCAAAGTGAATGTGTGCTACAAATCAAAAGAAACTGGAAACGGTAAAATATTAAAGCAGGGCGAGGTATACGTCGTCTTCCAAACCAGCCCAAACTGATCATAATTTCCTCTTCATGTACTCGATAAACAATCACGAAAAATTATCCCTCCCTCATTGTGTTTAGAACTAGTGCTGAAGAAAGGGTCAACTTATTAGAGAGCTCATTTTCTGCGGGTAACATTGAAATCTAAACCATTAATTTCCTGGAAATTGAAAATTTAAATTTTCAGTCAAACATAAGAGGAATTCGTTTGTTAAACTTTATTCACTGTATACTGTAGACAAGAC